ACTCATTACCTTTTATATAAACATAGTCAATAAAAAAAAAATTACACATCCTATATAGGAAATGAAATTATATAAAAAAAAAAAGTAAAGTCATTTGCAGCAGGAAACATCAGTCTGCATGGCTAATCCAAACACTTTTACTTCCAGCACGATAAATGAAATGAACTAAAATTGAGGCGAGAGCAACCACGCTATTATAATGCAATTTTATACAATAATACTATAATGGCGTATGCAATTTGAGATGTCTGCTCACAGAAATATTTCAGTGCAATTTTCTCTTATAAATTAACAAATCTCACGTACTTCGAAGTAGATGGACCCCTCCTATGATTTTATGGGAAAAAGAGGGTTTGTTTAAACACAAATTTCACCAAATAAAGCACCAATTAAAACATGGTGTTCTACATTAGCATAAATAATAATGCAAAATTACCACTCGGGAAAATGAAACCGTAAAAAACCCTTACCAGGAGAAGTTGGTAGGTGTAAAATAATAATTGCATACAATCTATAATCAAAGGAGATTTCCCAGGTGTAAGCTTTGTAGTTAACTGTTTGGATATCAAAGCAAAGCAAGAATATCAGTTGCAAAAAAAACCCTTACCAGGAGATTCGTGAAGAGGACGGACATGGGGCGCAACTGGTTTTTTTTGTTTTTTTTTTGGCTACCCTTGTTCTTTGATTTTTCGATCCGTGCCTGTTTTTTCAGAGAGAATTTATTTGTTTTATATGTCGACTTGAGAAAATTTGATGAGAATAGAACATAAGATGAAACTCAATGACAACAATGGACAGTGACATCCTTGAGGATGCAAACATTTCAGAAGCTCCCGTCGTAGGTCAGTCTCGATATAAAATCATTTTATATGAAAGACTTTCACAATCCCAACTGAACTTCAAAAATTTCCAATTTATTTGAATCTCAATATATTATGACCAGCTCATATCCTTCCTGTGCTCCGAATATAACAACCGTGTCAATGTGTAAGAACTAAAACTCCCACGCAAGCATAGCAGATAACTGAAAAAACTCTAATTGAATAAACAAACGAAAAGAATGCGATAACAAATCATCAAAAACTGCTAAATTTCTCATGAACCCAAATAAATAAATAAAACTCGTCTTTTGGCACAAGATGAGTTGTCAGAAATATCCGAAAACCATTTATCACCTGCTTGATAATCCTATGGGAGTCGACTGATTTCGGATTTCGTGGTTGATCGACGGAGGACGCTACGACGGTCGCTTTGTGAAGGATTTGGCTATTCGTTTCGTGAAGGATTTAGGTGCAGGATTTGGCGATGTCGCTTTGTGAAGGATTTGGGGGCAGATAATTCGGTTTAGGAATGTACTATTAATATAATAATATTAGTACTGTATTATTAATATTTAATTACAAAATTAATTTGACAAAGTAAGGTTAATTTAGGTAAAATATATTTTTACAGATTCATTGACTCTTTTATAATAGTATAGATAAGCTAGCTTTTCATCTATAAGTCATAAGTTATAAGGTATAAGCTAGAAAATTATTGAGAAACTATAAGTTAGCTTATCAGCTAATTTTACCAAACACATCCGTAGTGTAGTACATATTTACTCGACTATAACTTGATTGTAATCTAACTATCTCTACACTCTATTTCACTAGCTACTTTTTTTGCCTACTCGTGGACTTTGATTAAAACCTACTGTGGATCCCTCCACAAGTACACAAAAACACTTATTCCAAGTGTCGTACATAAAAGATAAAAAGTATGATTTTTACCTTTTCAGCTCATAAGAACAAAACTGAAAGTTTTTAATATGCAATAAAATCAAAACCGACCACTCAAAGCTCTCAGAGAAGTTTAGTATCACTCGAGCTCTCTCTCATAATCAATACAAAACAATGGTGAAGAATTCTGAAAAAGTGTGATTCTTCTTTTGGTAATAAGTGATGTAGGGAAGCGTACGAATGAGAATGATAAAACGAGATCGCAATCTCAATAACACTTAGACACGATATCAGTTCATATTTTATTCAAAATCCACCACCTCACAATAATGCATGAGACTCATTTATATAAGACTCTCAATATCAAAACTTAACTTATTCTTCATGCTAATAAATATAAAAATATAATAATAATTATAAATGTATGTCCACCAAACTAACTTGTCTACACCATTCTCTCCCGATTCAGAAGGCTTCGCACTCAAAGTTGACATGTTCTTGTGGCCTTCGTGCAGAGTCAAATCCATGGTAGTAAGTCTCTGTCGTTTCCCTTTGTCGAACATGAAGGTTGAATGTCGCCCAACCAGTTCATTCTCGCAGAAGCCATCCCAGAACAGGCACACCAACTGAAGTACGTTGAAGGTTGTTGTCCTAAGTTTTAAGAGTTGCCACCTATGATGGAGATCGATCAATCAGATCGACTTCCGTCCAAATTTTTTGTGCTTTGTAGGATAAAGCCTTTGAATGTCCAGTCGAGAAAATATCGTGAACTTGGTTATAACCTCCAAATCTCTGAGCTGAAGCACTACTAAGCTCAATAATCCCAGTGGTCTGTGTTGGTTTGGCTCCAAGAGTTTCCAGGGTAGAGTCAGCCACAACTAAAATAACGCAGTGCCCGAAATCCTCGGACAGGTGTCCTCGGGCCCCGCAGCCTCTTCATCATAAATCGACGGAACAATAGCTCATCATTTTGTTCTCTATCAATCCTGAAAAATTCCAGAATCTACAGGCAAAACCCTCGGTCTCCTCGCTACCCTCCGCCGCCCTCTAACGTACGGCGAAAATCGCGTCCCTGCTGCTTGCAGCCTCGACCATAGCCCTGCTCGACCCTATCGCGGCGGTGCTGCCAGACGTTTGAGAAGCCTGGCCCGTCGCGCTAATGCATCAAGCCACGGTAGCCGATTGCAAAGCCCAGCCTATAGGGCAGAGGAACCAAGTCGTTGCGCTGCTGCTGCCACTCGTCTGCAATGCCTTCGTACCAGTGGTGCCACACCCGCCTATGTGGTACATCTTCAAAGTACGCATCGTCCCGTGCAAACCCCTAATCGCGTCGGGGAAGATAGCCGCCAGCGAAAGCTGCCTCCGCACGCCAGCCCCTGTCGCTCTGTTGATCGTCACCGTCCACGAAGATCGGGCCCCATTGCCGTATGTCACGGTTGCCATATCCAGCAAAAGGGGTCAGCCTCGACGTGCGGAGGTTGATAATCGTCGAAGGGGTTCACCTCTGAGATAGTTTCCTCGTCGTCGGACGGTGGTTGTGGAGATCTCTGGTGGGGCTCCCCGCTTGGACCACGACCTTCAGGTCCTCTACGAACTACCTCGTGCACGCCCCGGTTGCTGGCATCACAGTTAGTCTGAAAATTCTCAACCATGTTGTTGATCGCAATAAGCAATTCTTCGATCCCCGTCGAAAGATCCTCAACCCGACGATCCAATTGATTGATCTGACGGCGAAGCCCATGGCTTGTTGTTTGTTGTGGTATTTTTCTTATGTTTTTCATGCCTTAGTCGATTCTTTTTAGGTCCGTTTTAATGTCGATTGGTTTATTTTATCGTGGTTCATGTATTTTCGCTTTTGTCTTGTGCTTTTGTGTTTTTGCCGTATTTTCTCGTTTGTTTTGATGTTGATTAGATTTATGATACAAAGTGTGGGTAGAAGATTTATTTGAACCGTGCGTGAGCCTTTGATCAGACCGTCT